CGCGATATCAATATCGTGACTAAGGGAATTTCTGTTTGATTTATTATGAGTTTTGGATTTATAGATTAAGATTTATGGATAGATTAAATTTATTACGTAATTACAGGAAACAAATGAATTATGAAAGGTCGAAGTTTATTTACGAATTTCTAAGAGAATAGTTGTGATATGTTTATAATAGCTAAAAGAAACTTAATTAGGAGCTTATTTATTCTTCAGACTATATTCTACATCTGTGCTAAATTATAATGTTAGTAAGAAACATATTATAAATGCGAATGTTTGTTTGAATATATCTCCAGGAAGGCTTAACGGATCTTAATGAAAATTGGGACAGATGTTGATTAAATCTTGAAGAACACATAGGCTATTTACTAAGTTTTTTTTCAATTCTGTTTTCAATTTTCACGGACGGAGTCGCGTACCCCAGCTAGTTGATATATAAAGATTCGCCATCCCTGTTAGTTCATTCCAATTGAAATTCTCAATGCTATTTCTAATACTATTCAATATCCAATGTTATTCGTATCTCGTCGGAACAGCGACATCTTGTGGTCAATATTAATTTGTACATTGTAATCCCAACGGATTTCTCCTGTCGGCATCTGATACATGCGAGTTGATCAAATTAATAATTAATCGAATTAATACCGTAAGTGTGGTCAGTAGGAATTTAAATGAAATATTAGTGTCCAGCATAAAAGAAGGGAATTTCTGTTATCAAGATGTTTATTCCTTGATTTTAGTACGAGAAATCCTCACTAAGGGGCAGCTTGAAGAATTATTTCACGGGCCACCGTAGTTGACTATGGCCTAGTCACTAACTTAGGGTAGGCTCTGACCCCCTAAGTGGGGACGTATACTGAGCTGATGATGATGAATGACTGCCCGTACATATTTAATTAACAAAGGGAGTTAACTGATCATTTAAAGGCTCCGAGTAAGATAGTATTACTATTTTTTGTTTTTTATTTTGCATGCGACTTTGGTCGTGCTGATTAAAAAAAAAGCTAGTAAAATTATTTCTCAAGTCCGTCCGATAGTTTTTGCATTTATTCGTATTTATTATTAATAAATTGTTATATAAAATAATTAGTAATAAATAATTTTATATAATATACTTTAAATAATTTTACCCGCCGCGGACGGGTCGACGCAGCGTAGGTAGGCTTTCCGCACGATGGACTAATGACCTGGTCAAGGTTGCGGGAGTGCACTGGATGCGGGCGGCACAGGACCGGGCATTGTGGCAATCGATGGGGGAGGCCTACGTCCAGCAGTGGACAAATTTAGGCTGAGTATGATGATGAGGATGAAATAATTTTATACAATAATTTATTGGCAGTAATTTATTATTATTAAAAGTTACTCTTTATAATTGGTGTAAATCAAACAAATCTTACAGTGGTGGAGCCCGCTTTAAAATCTTCGCACGAATTGGCCTCGCCCGGTGAAATACCACGACCACACAGAAGACATGCGTCAAGTGGAAGCAATTCCAAGTACAGTCTGAAGAGTGTGCTTCCCGGAGGCCTAATTTAGTCCTTTTTCCCTTCCCCCTTTTTTTCTTATACGGAAATGATGGGAAGTGGAAGTGGACTTTCCGGATGAGAGGATGCATGGAAAGGGAAAATGTTTACTTTCTGTGCATCCTCTCCTCCGTCGATTAAAGGTAGGCAACGCATATGCAATTGCGTATGTCTATGGGCAACGGTCACTTCGCTATTTCAGCGATTTCAGGTGGCCGCTCGCTATTTGCCACTTTATGATGTTAAAAAAAATCAAACACGTTTAATTATTTATAAACAAATTTTTATTTAATATTTTCGATAATTTTACACATTTGAAAATTTATTTATATAGATTTAATCACAAATAACTTTTACGACGACCTTTATTCTACAATATATACAGTTTCAATTTGTACAGTCGCGAGCAAAAATACCTGAAACTTTAATCAAACTTTTTACATATAATAACTCTGTACCTAATTTAGGTTAATTATATTTTTTTTATTTTAATCAACAAACTCAAAAGAATTCTGAATTAAAAAAATGTTTAAGCGAAAAAAAAATGTAAAGGGTGTTTTGTATGCGTACATTGACACTAAGGAGGGCCCTTAGACATAACTTTTAAAAGACTATGCGTTCGACAGTCTTATATCAAATATATTATAAATAATTTGTAAATATTTTGCTTATAATTTTCATTGCAGATATATTCATAAGAAAAGATATTGCTATTTCAATTTTTCTAATTGGAATGAAAGAGAGAACAATAAAAAGTTAAGTCAAAGTGTTATAAACCTGGTGCGCGACCTCACATGAGTGCGATAAAGACGGGAAGATGAAACCAGACACGACAATTATTTTCACCAGTGGAACATCCTATTAAATGAGAGATTTACAAAAAAATATCTTAAAGACCACATCTTGATGTTTATAAATATATTTTTTCTAATCAATCGTAACAAAAGGTTAATTAGTCCGCATATGTTTATTATTTCTTGAAATACAATAAACTTTTAATAATACAAACATCAAAATAAAATTTATTACAAAAGAAATTTCTTTTCTCTCATTAATTAATCAATTGGTAACAATTTTTTTATATATAATTAACTAATCAATAATATCTATTTACAAATAGTAATTAAAAAACCACCATTAAGAAACAAAAAAATATTTTGACACATTACACATTTGAATATGGCCGACAAAAGTTTAACTTGTCTACAGCTGAAAGACGTACATAAAACTATACTCATCTCTTTTATTTACTTGTAAAAAACAGAGATAGCTATATTTTCGTACAGTCATTTCAGTAGTAGAAACTCATAGCTAGAATGATTAATACAATCACTGGAATAAAAAAAAATCATTAAAAAATTCCCCCTGTCTTAAATAAAGATTGACTTGATTTTAATGAGTTTTATTTGTTGAATTTATTTATTAAAGATTTTTAATAATATAAGATAAATTGTGAATTAAATTTATATTATGTTTAATTTTGTAACTGACTGTACTTTAGATAATTTCCCACTGTCAAAACACTTATAGAAAAACATCAATATCTTCATGTTGTTTTATTTTTATAAGAAAAAAAATGCGAAATTTTGCAAATTTTTTGCACGTTTTTTAACAGTGGAAATCCAATAAACACCCTGTATATTCTCCAATATTTTATAGTAACATATATTTTACTCGCGAATGTACTTAAATAATTCAGCACTTATTTAAATTTAGTACATTGCGTACCAAAAATGTTTAAGTATTTATTCTGTTAACTCTGTCGACCCCAAACTCGTATCCATTTGTTTATTTGCGCTTGTTATTCCCTCCTTTGCTAGTCTTTGTTTCGGTGACATCGCTAGAAAAAAACGTGAGGAATTTTCGTAAAAAAAAATAATACATTTTTTTTGTTTAAAATAATAAAAATATTTGACACATTTTCATCCTAAGCTCATGTTAACATAATTTAAGACCAAAAAACCCAATTGACATCATATGATACTTAGGGAAAGAATCGAATAATACTTCACTAGTCTAAATCGATTCAGCGGTGACTATGGAATTGATATTTTTTCCAAAAAAAAACGACCGTCGTAAATTATTAAATGCTTTTAGACACTGGTTAGAATCCTTTGACGCGAATGACGTGCTTTCATTACAAAGTCCAGTGTCAGAATGATTAGTGAGGGGACATAAACGTCGACATTTTAACTAGTCGTAAGGCTAGTGTTGCTCCAGTACACCGGTAATGTCGGATTTTTCTTCTTAACAATACCTACTTACAAAGTCAGGTAAACCAGAAAGAACTAAAACTGTGAAAACCAAGTGCCTAAAAGTAAAAATATTGAGTTTTTTTTTCAAACATCTTGTCGGTCAAGGTCATTCTCTCCCCCCGCGTCCCTGCATGTCTGTCTGTACCCGACACCAGTATATCCTAAGAAAAAATGTAAAAATATTGAAAATACTTACGATTATTCCGTAGGTAATCAGGTTGAGGCGTGTAATACGCGGTGTTATTCTCTGCGCTGACACGAACAGGACAGAGACGGAGGTCGTACCTCTCGTAGTCCTGTAACTGAGACGCGCTCGTCTTGCGCAATGTATCGCTGTATACTAAAGGAGGAGGTAGATATTCTTCTGGTGGTCTTAATTGTTCCAAAGGTAACTATAAAAAAATAAAAAAAACGACTGTATTTTTATGACATTTTTTATAATTAGCACCCGGCTGCGTCTGTGAATTAAAAACTTAACATCTTGTGATCTTCAAGACTAGATTTTACATCTAAGCCAAATTGTCTAAATAGTCAATCGAAGCAAAATCTGCGGAAAATATTATCTTTCAGGCAATAGATAAAATCAATAGACAACTTCGCATTTAGAAAAAAGATGGCTTTTGATAAGTCTCAGTTAAAAGGTAAAGAGGAATTTTATACATTGTTATTATTACTAATAACAGTATAAAAATACAAAGGGCGTTTCTGAGACCAAAATCCCCATTTAAAACATATTGTTGTCGCCGTTTTAAATAATGACAGAGATGACGATATGTTTTATACAGAGATTTTCACCTCAGAAACCAACTATTAGTCTGTTAATTTACACTAATAAAGCGGAAGAGTTTGTTTAAACGCGCTAATCTCAGGAACTACTGGTCCGAATTATTTTTTTATTGGATAGTCCATTTATAGAGCAAGGCTTTAGGCTATATAACATTACGCTGCGATTTATAGTTCATTTTTAATTCTGCGCAGACGGAGTCGCGGGCGACTGCTAGTAACATAAATATTAACTTTTTTTACATCATAAGGTGGCAAACGAGCGTGTGTTCACCTGAAATCGCTGAAATAGCGAAGTGACCGTTGCCTACAGACATACGCATATGCGTTGCCTACAGAAGGAAAATATTTTCCGTTCCCATGCATACTCTCATCCGGAAAGTCCACTTCCACTTCCCATCCTTTCCTTATAAGGAAAAGGGCGGGAAGGGAAAGAGGACTAAATTCGACCTCCGGGACACACACTCATCAGACTGTAGTTGGAATAGCTTCCACTTGAGTCGTGTCTTCTGTGTGGTCGTGGTATTTCACCGGGCGAGTGGGGACAATTCGTGCGAAGGTGTTAAAGCAGCCTCTACCACTGTTAAACTAAACATTAGTACAAAAAAAACTTACCAAATCGCTAGTGTCCAAGGGTAACGCATTTTTATATCTCAACCAATCCTCGTAGACATTGTCACAAGGCTGCCAGCAAACATTCCCGCCAACGTTTGCCATTGGTGTCACATGTTGGTATGTTTGTGGCATTCGATACTTCATATCATATTGGCTGCTGTTTGCCAATGTATGGAAACTGCCGAATGTTGGCTCCAATTTGTCCAAGCTGGCTTTTGACATCAAAGGTCTATTGGAATTTATCGAACAGTTGTCACTGATTTTAGATTTTATTGGTATTATATCTGGATTTTTATCTGTAAAAGAAGTTAATTATTAAAAAAAATAACTTGGATTGGATAAAAAAAAAATATTTTTTTGCAATTTTTTTGTTATTTAAAATGCTAAATAAGCTAAATAAAAAAAATCAGCTCGCTTCAATTTCTTTACGAATAAAAAAAACCGTAAAAAAATGTTTGTTTTCTACGTACCTACGCTATCATTACTTTCAGTCTTTTTCATACCGGACAACAGCACGTCTGAGGTCTCGTCTTGAGGTCTCTTGGCTTTTTCATTATTTTCTAAAAGAAAAGGCACAAATGAAACAGACGTCTGTAATTAGGACAAGAGCAGCCGCTGAATGAAACTTACACTTGCCTTCATAAGCCAACTATTTCTCACAAATTCTGATAAAAATTCCTATTCATAATATTTTTTTTGGATTATTAATTAAAACTGCATATAAAATATGCAAAATAAGCATTTCTTTCTTTAAATCTCGGAATCTTACTAATATTATAAATGCGAATGGAAGGTATCACCAGAACAGCTGCATTTATCTCGGTAAAATTAAGCATAGATGTAAAACATAGTCTGGAAGAACACATAGGATACTAATTAAGTGTTTTTTTTTATTCCGGGCGGACAGAGTCGCTGGCGACGGCTTATATGTGATAAAAAAAAATTCGAAAAAATTCTAAAACAATGCATTATTATACTCTAAGAGCCAAAAATTCAAAACGATATCGTGATTTTATTATTTAATATTAATTAATATAAAAAACTTGTTAACTAAAACCTGTCAAATATGCGTCTTAGTGTATATCACAATTATTTAAGATATAAAATTTATAAATTCTGATCTGTGACATTTAATGTAAGACATAACCTAAAAATGTGTGCCGTAAACATATGACATGAGTTACGACGCCATATTTAATCTTCGCCGGCAGTAAATTACAGATACGACTCAACTGCACTAGAGAAGCGATCATTTTTATTTTTCGATGACATTTCATATTCTAACCTCAAAAATACCTATAGAGAAAGTTTAGTTTAAACAAATACACAATTTTTCTATTTAGACTAAAATTTGTATTTTTTTTTTCATAATTGACAATATTTTTTTAATTAATTATAAAATTATAATGTAACTAGCTTTTCCCGTGACTCTGTTCGCACGCATAAAACTTAGTGAATATGCGTTCTTTCAGACTATGTCCTACATCTATTTTAACTTTGAAAACCGTTTAACCGTTTTAGAGATATGTAATAACAAACATCCATCCAAGCATTCGGAATTTCTATTTACTAACTGGCGCCCGCGACTCCGTCCAGGCGGAATTAAAAAATGTTAAGAATCCTATGTTCCAGACTATGTTCTACATGTATGCCAAATTTTATTAAGATCCGTTGAGCCGTTCTGGTGATATCTTCAAACATCCATCCATCCATCTAAAATTTCACATTTATAATATTAGTAACTAAGATTTATAGATAATTAGACTATGTATCTATGCAGGTGTTTCGTCAGTGGAACCTTACGCTTACATACCTCTATTGTTGAAGTATTTGCAGTAGCACATGGTGGCTGAGACAGCGGCCAACACCGCGAACAGGCCAACACCGACCAACACTGTCACCAACAGAGTGGTCAGCTCCACCCGCACTGGTACTGCCGCTGTTGCAATATTTTTTTATATCATAAAATGCCAAATGAACGTTCGGCTACTTGAATTCGCCGAAATAGCGAAACGACAGCTGCCAAAGGCACACGTAATTGCAAATGCGTATACCTTTCATCGACGGAGGAGACGCACAGAAAGGATATTCGCCCTTACTATATTCCTTTCTTCTGTCAAATCAACTTCCCCTTCCCATCCTCTTCTTATAAGGAATCTCAAAGGTTCTAATTTTTCTCCTCTTCCCCTGCCCACCCTTTTATTGTAAGGAAATCATAGGAAGGGGAAGTGGATTTGGCAGAGATTGGCCGCGTAGTAAGGGAATAATATAATTATTTTTTGTGCATCCTCTCTTCCGTCGATTACAGCTTGGCGACATAGTCTTCGCTATTTAGGCGAATCTAGGTGGCGAATCGCTGTTTTTTCAAAGACAATGACAGGGATGACGATATGTTTACATTTTTGTGAAATAAATTTATTCTTATTCTTATTCTTATTCTTATTTAGGTCTCAGAAATCAACGATATGTTTATTAGTATGGCAAAATTTCTAGTCAGATTACAAACTGGCAATGTTTACAATCAAACTGTGACATAACAAAAAAAATGGTAAATACCTGTCCTCCTCTCAGGGTATTTGATGAGGCTACAAGTGAGAATGAAGGCATCGCTGGAACCTTTAGCATTACTCGCTCGTATGGACAGAGTGAGAGCTGCGCGAGAGTACAACTCTGTCACTTCGAATGTAGGAGACTCATTCGTTAGGTTACGTAACAAAGATCCGGATTCTGTGTCGTATATCTAAAGGGAGATTATTCATATTTAAGGATAAATTACTGTCGAATTTGGATAAGCGAGAAATCTCTGTAAGCGAGAATATTATTCCATTATCTTTGTTTCTCGCTTATTCAGTTTTCACTGTATTTCACTTACTTATAATATGCATAAAACATAAAATTACGATATTAACAATTTATTTTTAAGTCAAAAGTCACACTACGTTATTTTTGCAAAGAAAAACAACTCAAAGTTAAATATAGATTTCACAAATATCAAGATTAATTAAATTGAAGTTATGTCAAAGTTTAAAGTAAAATAATAAACTGACCTCTAAAACGAATATCTGTTTGACCCCACCATCATACCCTGGTGTGCAGTTCACTGACAACGAGTCGTAAGTCACATTTGTCACTTCGCAATTCTTCACGCTCGATGGCTTTTCTATAAATCACTTATTTTGTACACTAACAGTAACATTTGTAATAAATACTAATTAAGAGGAACTGTGGTACCATTATTGATACGTTACTGTACGTTTGTTAACTTCGTCAGTTCTTAATCAGTCTGTGTACGTTGAAATTTCATATTGTGATAGAAGTTGCACCATTTTTTTTAAATATTGTTGCATTTGGATGTTATAAGTTTAACGTGTCTATGTGTCTGTGGCATAGTAGCTCCAAAATGGATCAATTTGATTGTTTTTTTTTTGTATAAAAGATGAATTATTCAGGAGTGTTCTTAGCTATGTTTGTTGCAAATCTGTTCAAGATGGCCGCCGTCACAAAATGTCGAAATACATTATTTTTAATATCCCTCAAATCAAATGAAAGGTCTTGAATAGAACCTTTTTTGTGGCGTGTTTTTTTAATATAGTAGGTTATTCTTTTACATTTAAATAAACTTATACTATTATAAACACAATCGATCGGTGACTGTGACAGAATTATAATAAAAATAGAAAAAAATGTACTCACCAGCAGGTAAAATTTGAAATAGACATGGTTCAATTTGCGAGCCAATAGAGTTCTGTCCAGCGCACTGGACCCAGCCGTAGTCTTCCGAACTGTTGATAACGTACTGGAATGTACCTGTTGAATACATTTATATTTTAACACATCGTATATTCCAGGTAATCCCCGGTACTACTGGACCGATTTTGACGAGATTTGAACTGGAAGGTAGCAGATGTATGCAGGAATGTTTAGGGCTACTTTTTTTTAATCTGCGCTACTCAAGTCACGGGCGATCGCTATATTATTATTATAATCGCATTTATGGATGGATGGATGTTTGTTAAAAAATATCTCGAGAACAGCTGCATGGATCTCGCTGTAATCTTACTAGTATTATAAATGCGAATGTTTGGATGGATGTTTATTTGAAGGTATCTCCAGTTCAGCTGCATGGATCTCGCTGAAATTTTTCATAGATGTAGAACATAGTCTGGAAAAACACATAGACTACTTATTATGTTTTTTTTAATACCACGCGGACGAAGTCTCAGGCGACACTTAATACAAAACAAGGGAAAAAGGCAGAGATTTTAAAATGGTTTTATTACTTACCTAGTTCATCATAAGGTGAATGCATCGCTGAAGTCTTCAACTCCTTCTTGCTGTGAGTTGAACTGTTAAACCACCATCTATATGTCATCGGTTTCTGTAAAAGGTTACAAATGTTAAACTACAAAATAAACATGACATTCATGTCTATTATGAATATATACGATAACCATTTTCGTAACTTCATCGAGAAAAATCAAAATTTATATAAGTTTATGCTGTACAAATGTAATTCAAATTTTATCATGTGATGATCAATGATTTAACATATACTATCTCACAAGTTTTCTTGATACACCCGCTGTAACTATAACATACAACATATAATTGGGTATACCGATTACTTACCTTAGGATTAGCGTCAAGTTCGCATCGTATAGCAACCACCTCGCCTCGAGCAGCGCGCACCACACCCGCCTCACGAGACTTACACGTCGGCACAACTGTTAAATATATACTTTTACAGACCCACTATCTGATTCAACACCCCCAAAGTGTATTCTGACCCCAAAAGTGTATACTGACCCCTAAAGTGTATACTGACACCCAAAGTGTATACTGACACCCAAAGTGTATACTGACCCCCAAAGTGTATACTGACCCCCAAAGTGTATACTGACCCC